TTTATGGATGAAAATCACCCTGACACAGCTGTTGCAAGCTGTGCTGGTGACTATTTCAATGACAATGTTATGGCCCATTTTAGACAAATCGTAAAGGAACGGGAGGTACAGAGCTCTATGGACAGATTTGTTGTGCGACAGAGGTCCAGTGACTCTGAAGCTGGTCCTAGTGGCATTAAAAGAAGAAGGGAAGTAACCCCGGAAAAGGACTTGCTACCTCAAGTCCTAATGGAAGGGGATTCCCCTTCTAAACACTAACACTCTCTCTCCCCTCCTCCCATCCCATCAATCATCACCAGATCTTCAATAAAAGTAAGTGTCATGTAATTGTGCATGCCTTTTTCAGTTTGTGTGTACTAAAATTAACATTTTTTTGTGGTAAAAAAAATTTTTTTTCATACTTTTGGGTGTCTTGCACGGATTAATTTTATTTCCATTATTTCTTATGGGGAAAATTAATTCGCATAGCGAACATTTCGCATAACGACCAGCCCTCTTGCACGGATTAAGTTCGCTATGCGGGGGTCCACTGTATATACATGTATATACATAGATTATTTAATTTTATTATATTTCCCTGCAATATATTGGAGCACCAAACATTCGCAATTTTTCAACATTCACGAGGCTCTTGATCCCTAACCCCCGTGAATGTTGAGGGAAACCTGTACTTTCAAATGTTGAAAAAACATATATATACGTTTGGACCATTTATGGGTTAAAATTGTACCACTCAATACCTATGTCTAGTCTTCAGTAGGATGTAAGTAGAGTGGTACTCAGAGTTTCAAACAGCTCCCAACTCGAACAATTATGTAAGTGCATTATTGTAAGTATTCTTGGGGTCTGAAATGGACTAATCTAATTTACATTATTCCTTATGGAACAAATTCGTTCGATAACGGCACTCAAGCAGTCTTCTGGAACGAATTATGGCCGAAACTCGGAGTACCACTTTATTAGTATGTATTAGTTTGCCAGAAATGAACAGTATGTTACCGGCTTTATTTTGTGCTTAACAATATTTTATTACATGTAAACTACATTTTGTATACTGCACAAAGGAATAAAACGATTGTACGCACCTCCATGACTTATGTCTGGCTAAATGATTTCCCCTGATTCCCTGGTACTGCTCACACTTCAACAAATATAAACCACGTGTCTCGACTCCAGTGCCTGTACTTAAGGAAGGGAGGTGGCGGGAAGTACAGTGCCTGTACTTAAGGAAGGGAGGTGGTGGGAAGTACAGTGCCTGTACTTAAGGAAGGGAGGTGGTGGGAAGTACAGTGCCTTTTACTTAAGGAAGGGAGGTGGTGGGGAAATACAGTGCCTGTACTTAAGGAAGGGAGGTGGTGGAAGTACAGTGCCCGTACTTAGGAAGGGAGGTAGTTGGGAAGTACAGTGGCCTGTACTTAAGGAAGGGTGGTGGTGGGAAGTACAGTGTCTGTACTTAAGGAAGGGTGGTGTTGGGAAGTACAGTGCCTGTACTTAATAAGGAAGGGTGGTGTTGGGAAGTACAGTGCCTGTACTTAATAAGGAAGGGTGGTGTTGAGAAGTACAGTGCCTGATCTTAAGGAAGGGTGGTGTTGGGAGGTACAGTGCCTGTACTTATGGAAGGGTGGTGGTGGGAAATACAGTGCCTTTTACTTAAGGAAGGGTGGTGTTGGGGAAATACAGTGCCTGTACTTAAGGAAGGGAGGTGGCGGGAAGTACAGTGCCTGTACTTAAGGAAGGGAGGTGGTGGGAAGTACAGTGCCTGTACTAAGGAAGGGAGAGGTGGCGGGAAGTACAGTGCCTGTACTTAAGGAAGGGAGGTGGTGGGAAGTACAGTGCCTGTACTTAAGGAAGGGAGGTGGTGGGAAGTACAGTGCCTGTACTTAAGGAAGGGAGGTGGTGGGAAGTACAGTGCCTGTACTTAAGGAGGGAGGTGGTGGGAGTACAGTGCCTGTACTTAAGGAAGGGAGGTAGTGGGAAGTACAGTGCCTGTACTTAAGGAAGGGTGGTGGTGGGAAGTACAGTGTCTGTACTTAAGGAAGGGTGGTGTTGGGAAGTACAGTGCCTGTACTTAATAAGGAAGGGTGGTGTTGGGAAGTACAGTGCCTGTACTTAATAAGGAAGGGTGGTGTTGAGAAGTACAGTGCCTGATCTTAAGGAAGGGTGGTGTTGGGAGGTACAGTGCCTGTACTTATGGAAGGGTGGTGGTGGGAAGTACAGTGCCTGTACTTAAGGAAGGGTGGTGTTGGGAAGTACAGTGCCTGTACTTAAGGAAGGGTGGTGTTGGGAAGTACAGTGCCTGTACTTAAGGAAGGGTGGTGTTGGGAAGTACAGTGCCTGTACTTAATAAAGAAGGGTGGTGTTGAGAAGTACAGTACCTGATCTTAAGGAAGGGTGGTGTTGGGAAGTACAGTGCCTGTACTTAATAAGGAAGGGTGGTGTTGGGAAGTACAGTGCCTGTACTTAATAAGGAAGGGTGGTGTTGGGAAGTACAGTGCCTGATCTTAAGGAAGGGTGGTGTTGGGAAGTACAGTGCCTGTACTTAAGGAAGGGTGGTGTTGGGAAGTACACTACCTACACTGAAGGATGGGTGGTGTTGGGAAGTACAGTGCCTACACTGAAGGATGGGTGGTGTTGGGAAGTACAGTACCTACACTGAAGGATGGGTGGTGGTGGGCAGTACCTACACTGAAGGATGGGTGGTGGTGGTGGGAAGTACAGTACCTATACTGAAGGATGGGTGGTGGTGGGAAGTACAGTACCAACACTGAAGGATGGGTGGTGGTGGGAAGTACAGTACCCACACTGAAGGATGGGTGGTGGTGGGAAGTACAGTACCCACACTGAAGGATGGGTGGTGGTGGGAAGTACAGTACCTACACTGAAGGATGTGTGGTGGTGGGAAGTACAGTACCTACACTGAAGGATGTGTGGTGGTGGGAAGTACAGTACCTACACTGAAGGATGGGTGGTGGGGGGAAGTACAGTACCTACACTGAAGGATGTGTGGTGGTGGGAAGTACAGTACCTACACTGAAGGATGGGTGGTGGTGGGGAAAGTACAGTACCCACACTGAAGGATGTGTGGTGGTGGGAAGTACAGTAACCTACACTGAAGGATGGGTGGGGGGGGGAAGTACGTACCTACACTGAAGGATGTGTTTGGGGGTGGGAAGTACAGTACCCACACTGAAGGAGGGGTGGTGGGGGAAGTACAGTACCCACCTGAAGGATGGGTGGTGGTGGGAAGTACGTACCCCCACTGAAGGATGGGTGGTGGTGGGAAGTCAGTACTTTCACTGAAGGATGTGTGGTGGTGGGAAGTACAGTACCCACACTGGGAAAGGGTGGGTGGTGGTGGGAAGTACAGTACCTACACTGAAGGATGGGTGGTTGGGGGGGGGAAGTACAGTACCTACACTGAAGGTGTGTGGTGGTGGGGAAGTACAGTACCCACACTGAAGGATGGGTGGTGGTGGGAAGTACAGTACCTACACTGAAGGATGGGTGGTGGGGGAAGTACAGTACCTACACTGAAGGATGGGTGGTGGGGGGAAGTACAGTACCCACACTGAAGGATGGGTGGTGGTGGGAAGTACAGTACCCACACTGAAGGATGGGTGGTGGTGGGAAGTACAGTACCCACACTGAAGGATGGGTGGTTTGGGGGGAAGTACAGTACCCACATGAAGGATGGGTGGTGGTGGGAAGTACAGTACCCACACTGAAGGATGGTGGGGGGGGTGGGAAGTACAGTACCCACATGAAGATGGGTGGTGGTGGGAAGTACAGTACCCCCACTGAAGGTTTGGGGGGTGGGAAGTACAGTACCCACACTGAAGGATTTGGTGGTGGTGGAAGTACAGTACCCACTCGAAGGATGGTTGGTGGTGGGAAGTACGTACCCACACTGAAGGATGGGTGGTGGTGGGAAGTACAGTACCCACTGAAGGTGGTGGTTGGTGGGAAGTACAGTACCTACACTTTAAAAGGGTGGGTGGTGGTGGGAAGTACAGTACCCACACTGAAGGATGGGTGGTGGTGGGAAGTACAGTACCCACACTGAAGGATGGGTGGTGGTGGGAAGTACAGTACCCACACTGAAGGATGGGTGGTGGTGGGAAGTACAGTACCTACACTGAAGGATGGGTGGTGGTGGGAAGTACAGTACCTACACTGAAGGATGGGTGGTGGTGGGAAATTTCAGTACCTACACTGAAAGGGGTGTGGTTGGTGGGGAAATACAGTACCTACACTGATGGATGGGTGGTGGTGGGGAAATACAGTACCCACACTGAAGGATGGGTGGTGGTGGGGAAGTACAGTACCCACACTGAAGGATGGGTGGTGGTGGGAAGTACAGTACCTACACTGAAGGATGGGTGGTGGTGGGAAGTACAGTACCCACACTGAAGGATGGGTGGTGGTGGGAAGTACAGTACCTACCATGGGTGGAGTTAGAACACAAAACTCCACTGGACGCGTCAGTCTGGAGTTTTGCGACTCCCTGATCGTGGGTTCTAACCCCACCCATGGTATGGTTTTTCCTGTACATATTTTTAAATGTAAAAGGAGAAACTTTAGTTTTTCTTTTTGGGTCACCTCGCCTTGGTGGGATACGACCGGTTTGTTGACAAAAGTAAATAAATAACTACTGTCACTGAATAAGTAAATAAACAAATAATTACTGTAACTAAATATCTGTAATGAAAAGTAAATAAATGAATAAGTGTTACAGACTTGCCACCTTCATGTGGGTAATTATCTTAAGTTTCTCTCTAAAGTAATTGCTTTTGTACCATCGTAAAGTTGAAATATCGTATGAACGAGATGTGCGGAAGTTACAGCTGATCTAGTCATTTACATGGCAATATCACTGCACTACTGATTATTATTATAGTCAAAACCAAGCACTAAACCCACCAGGGTGCTTACTGAATGAATGAATGGTGAATATTTTTTTTTAAATCTCCCTACTCTGCTGGGAGGAGGCCAATGTAGTAAAAAATTTGATGCTATTTATTAATTTCAGGTGTTTACTAGTTGTGTTTAAGACAGGTGTTAACAATGACCTGCCTAATATGGGCCTGTAGGCCTACTGCAATGTTTTATGGGCCAGAAGGTCTGCTGCAGTGTTCCTATATTTTGTATTCTTCAAACAGAGCATCAAAGCAATGAGGGAGGAGGGAATCATGGCATCCATTTCCTTTTTAACTTATTTATTTCAAGCTATTTACATCCAGTTCAACCATATTCAATCCAATCTACTACAAAGTGGGAGTCAATTATGCAACTGTCAAACCGAAACAAATTAACACAATACTATAACATCTGAGTAGAAACTGTCTAGATGCTCACAGGCTGCTTCCTAGTATAACTTATATTATCTTCTAATTATGTGCATATTACTATACACTATTTGATAAACAAGTGCTTTACATACTGGAACATGGTTCAATAAACTGTCTAATTTCACTTCATCTTTAGGTACAAAAATCTAAATCTATATCAATTAGATTATATTTAACATTTTTCATGCATATGTAAACTTATTGTCTTTTTACATGAATGGTCTCTTAAAAATAAGAACAATGAACTGCAGCTACTAATTTTTGTACTAATGTAACATTAGTGTTTGTTCAGTCATGTAAAGTAGGGAACACGGGTGGTACACTGGAGATTTCCAAGAACACAATACTGGGATCTTCCAGTGCTAAGAAGCTCTGTATTTTCTCGGTACTAGGAAGTTCCGTATTTTCTCGGTACTGCGAAGTTCTGGATTTTCTCGGTACTGCGAAGTTCTGGGTTTTCTCATTACTGGGAAGTTCTGTATTTGCAAAGTCCCTTATCAGAGAGTAGTTGTGTTAATGGACTGGAAAGTCTATTCCTGTGATTCTCAAACCAGGCTCGTGTATCAGCAGCTTGCATATACACGGTACATGAATGAAAGCCTCCCAAAAGATGCAGGATTCACGGCACATTACTTAGTGTCCGTCATCCAGAACTTGAAGAATTAGTGGGATGACTCCAGAAAGCATTCACTAACAAGAAGGCAGTCTGGAAGGTGCCTTTGGCATACTGTTGCCTGCAGTGGTGAAAGAACAACTGCAAAGGGGAATAGGCTTCTGAAGAAGACCATTTCACAGGCGAACATGTCTCTGCAAATGGGTCTTATCCCCCACTTAATGGCTTTGTACCATTTGTCACTGCTACTATCTGCAGTTGCACCTCTGAAATTGGAGATTGATGTCTTGGAAGGAGGGGATTTGCCAATTTAAGTAATATTGCGTCACCTGTGGAGAACGTGACACAGCTGACTCTTGACCAGCTGTACTTGAGAGACAAATATACAGTAACTGTGTAGAAGAAAAAGTGGAGCAAATCCCACAGTAGAACCTCTGGCCACAAACTTTCCTCTCACATCGTCAAACTCACAAAAAAGATGACCATAGAAGTGGAAAACATTAATCTGAATGTTTGAGTCATGGCTTCCTCTACAAATCTACAGAATACAAAGCCCTTTCAGAGCCACATAAACAAAATTATCCTCTCCAGGAAAACTCTGCACTCCGAGTGAACAATGACCTTGAAGCTGCTAAATGACCTGCCAGTAAGTAACCATCTTTCAGCAGTAATCTATATTATTCATCTATTAGATCATTTTTCTTGTACTACAACTCGAAAACTTTGATTACAGGTGCTCCTTCAGTTACGATGGGATTACGTTCCGACAAACCCATTTCAAGTCGAAAATATCTAATGTGAATGATATGCTGAATAAGTAAATAAATAAATAAATAAAAAAGATAAAGACTTTATTTCATTGCAAGGTTACAATTTTGATTACTGTAATTAACTGCTTTTGCACCATTGTAAAGTTGAACCATAAGTTGAACCATCGTAAGTCGAGGAGCACCACTAACAGTATGTTTGGACAAGGGTCCATAGGGGTTTGAAACATATTTTCTTAGTTTATATGTAAATTTATGGGAGCAATATGGCAGGTCCCATATGGAATAATTGGTGGATTATTAAGAAAGGCTTAGGACAATCATGTAACAATTATTTTCCAGGAAAAGTTGAGTGTAGACAGAGAGATGTGTGAGATGTCACCCTGATGTTAGATAGGAGTGGAGACAAATTGTTTTTGGGACTTGGCAAGCTGTTCAATGCTAAGGGAATCCCAGTATTGAAAATGCAGAGTGAAGAAAACAGATGAGCAAAAATGCAACACTGAGTGGAGCAGCTGGAAAGTGTAAATATGTACAAATCGTGTCATGATTTTTGCATACATATATGTATGTTTACAATACACTAAAATGGAAGTGAGTGACAGTACATTTGAGAACAATGATTAATATCACACACTGACAAAAATTAAAGCCAGTGACAGTATTTATACAATTATTTAAGACAAACAACTGAAGCAATTAGAAATATGTGAATTACCTTAAAAAAGTACAGTCTAACCCCCAATGATAATATTCTAGTGTAACACCATAAATTCTCATTATCCTTATAAACAAGAGATAATCCGTCTATAGCTCAATGCTTGTTTTAAAGACAGGGTACAATCCTTAAGCTTTGTGTGGGTAACTAGTCTAAGAGTAGACACAGCAGTAAATCAGTGTTTGGAGTAAGTCCTAGCAAGACTTACTTCACATCAGAACATATATGTGCAAAATACACATATCCAAAAAACTCGCTGCTGATACAAAAAAGTGTGTGTGCATGCTTAGAATCATTCTGGCATTAAGGAGCAAGGCCACATTTTTGTGGAAATACTAGATTACGGCCACTTCGTATAAGCTACTACAGAAAAGGAAAAAATATACTAGTGGTAGTCTATACAAAACACTGGTTTTGTGGAAAAAAAAATGAATGAAATACTTTCAAGTGTATCAAGTTTACATTGAGGAAATGTTTATGCCACCAAGATAGGGCTGGGTAGAAAAAAAAGGTAACAAAGAAAAAGGAGGGAGATGGGAGAGACAAAAAGAGAAAGGGTGGAGGAGTGAAAAAATGAGAAAAGAAAGAATGAATAAAACAAAATGTGTGCCAGCTGCCTACAAGGTCAGGGAAATATAGCTGAATGTAGCCACAATACCTTCAGCTATAATTTAAAAAAATGCCATCTTATAATGGTGATACTCCATCATGGAACCAAAATTCTACATGTAGTCTGCATCAAAACTAAAGTGGTACATACCTAGCCTGAGTGACTGATTATGTAATTAGCATACACTGATAAGTTGCAGAATAAAACACAAGAGACTAAGTGTTAAGGGTATGTGGATGGCTAATGAGACTGATGCCATAAATCTACCTCGGATGGAGAAACTAGAGGGAAGAAACTATTAAGATGTGGAAAAGCCACTTCAAAGTATGGCAGAATGTGCCTGAAGAAATGTATACAAAATAATAAAATTTCTATGAACTATTTAATTTCTGACATACTTTTTCAATCACATTTACAAAAAAACTGTTCTATGTAGAACTTTATAAGAGTATTTATTCTAAGTATACCTGGAATTAACAAAATTAGACAATGTTACATATCTGAGAAACAGTGATGGCATAATGCCCTCTATAGATTTATTCAGAAGAATTATTCCTAGCGCACACAGTTATACTTTTGTACCCCTGACTTTATGAATTTTCAACTTAACCTAATTTCCATCAGTCTGTAGCATAACTTATGCTGCAATTACATTCTCTCATGCTTTTTATATCAGATGTCATATAAAAGTTTATTAGTGTTTGTGCAAATAAATCAGTGAGTATGTAATGGGATAAAAGTGAGTTAGTCTCTGTACTGTCACCACTTGTGAAGAACCACCAATTTTGTAAATACAAACAACAAGCTGTGTTATATTTGCACTCATTGCTGCTACTCAACAAACAAAACAATTTAATAACTGACTGGAATGCATGTATGAAGGTTCAAAAGCTAGGGTACAACATGAAAGATATCCATTAGAGAGAGTTCCTGAGTTACATATGACAGAGTTACTGTAATTCACACTTACGAACAAGGTCAAAGTCAAACTATGATATGATCCTGGTGATCGTAACTTTAGCATTTTGTTGTCGTGTGTAAAGTCTGACGTGCGAGTGTTTCTGAATTTCTTGAAAGAATGGGCATTCGAGAAGTATAAAATCCCAAAATATGATAACCAATCTGCAGTTATGAACATGTGTAAGACAACCAACAATGTACTGTAATGTTCTGGGGGATAACAGGTTTAGGATTACAAACGATTTGTTCATAAGTTGAAACACAAGGAACATAACTAATTCAAAACTTGTAAAACTAGTAATAGTAGGAAGCACTATTTGAGCCTGCAAGCACTGGGACATTTTTATTTTCATTCCGTGCATATATGCATGAGGGAGCAGAAGGAGGCAGTGCAGCGCAAAAATGCACCACTGATCATGCAGTAAGCATCCTGAAACAGCAAGCTTGATCAAGAAGACCAAAAGACAACTCATCCAACTTACAGGTGCTGTCACTTTCTGCTACCCTCAGCTAGACAATGGTAAAGATTGCTGAAACAAAAGTAATGCCCATTTAGAATCAAGAATTATAAAGCAATGGAGTTTACCACACATGAGGTAAAGTATATTCCAAATTAAAATAAACTTATCATTTATAAAATACCCGGCCTAGCGCTGTAACCACTCTGCCACAGAGTTTATAAATAGAATGGTTTTACAAGAACCAGCACAACCGTGACATGGTTGCATCATCGGCAACAACTACGACCCTACTGTCTCATCGCACAATCTCAGAGGTCTTTATGTTACATCTACTTTAATACCCCTCAAAGCCAGCACTGGGCATGGAATGTTCATATCCCCCACCCAGTATTATGTTTATTCAATAACTTATCTTGGGTTAAGCCATAAAAAGTCAAAGTAACCCCCCCAAAAATCTATGAACATGTCGAGTAAAAATTATTCAAGTTAACCTCTCATAATATATTGTCTGTTTCTGAAATCAGCTCATGAAAATTAATGTACTTTCAAATTTGCCAAACAATTTCTTTTTAATATTTAACTAGGTACAAATTACTACATTTAACTTCTCTTACAAGGGGTGAAAAAGACACTTGCAGAGAGGAGTGTTATTGAGATCTTCCATGTAAGACACTTCTTCCTTCACTGACTGAAGAAGCTGATGTCACAGGTGAAACTCCTCACTAGTTCATTACTGCACATGTGTCTTCTTCACCACTTGTTGCCTCTATACCATTCATCCCTATCTTGTCTTATATTCTGGTAATTATTTCTTGTTGACAAGTGAGTGAAGGCTTTCCTTTCCTCTCACACACAATTTTAAGCACTTGCTTTCTGATATCATCAGTCCACATTCAGTAACCATTCATTCAATCTTTTAACTACGTCACAAACTGCACTACTTACTGCACAGGTGACAAGATGTAGACTATATATATATAGGCACATACATTATGCACATCCACACTTCTTTCAACAAAATGGCCTTATCCCACTGAAGCAGGGTGGCCCAAATAAAGAAAAACAAAAGTTTCTCTATTTTAAGTCTAGCAATATATACAGGAGAAGGGGTTACTAGCCCCTTGCTCTCGGCATTTCAGTCGCCTCTTACGACACGCATGTTTTACGGAGGAAGAATTCTGTTCCACTTCCACACATGCATACATATACACATTACCCAAAATATTGCAGTGTCTTGGTTCCTATTATATAAGGTATATGCTAAACTGTAAAAAATTTTATTCCTACTATTCCAGATGGAAAAAATAATCAACCTTGGGTAAAAAAAAAATGTTTAATATAAATTTCAGGAAAATAAGACTCACAAAGATTTAAGATAGCAAGAAATATACCAAACATATAAAGATAATATTTATATTAAAGACAGTTATCATAATATAGAGATCACTAGGCTTTCAACTCTCTCAAACTAACAAAAATGTCAACCTTTATGATAAATAAAAGAAAAATATCCCACAATATGAAAATACTTTTCATTGTCAGTAAATTTTCAAGAGAATCATAGAATGAATGATGCAGTGAAGAATTACCTGTGTGGCATTTATTTCTGGGGCAAGGCCAGGTATTGATGTATTTGAGAAGGCCTCATCCATGGAGATAATGGAGTCATCACCATTTAAGGTTGCCTGTGAAGAAAGAGAAAAAAGATTTAAGACATTCTCAAGGTAAGTTGTAATGAGCAACTGTCAATAAATAAATAGAAAAATCAACGCTGGGTCTATCTGCCGTTGATTCACCATCTGTGAGCCTAAGAACATGGAGAACTAAGAAAGTGGAGGAGCACTGTATCGAACCTACTAGCCTACTATGCAGGTTTTTCTCATATCCAACCCTACTTATTTTTTTTTCAACATGTTGGTCATCTCCCACTGAGGCAGGGTGACCAAAAAAAGAAAAACACTTTCAACATCATTCAACACTTTCATTCATGTTGTAATAAAGTTGGTAGAATTACCGACAATATGTAAAGTAAAAGGACACAAGTGCAACTAATGTGACATTTATTGTGGCAACGTTTCGCTCTCCAGGAGCTTTATCAAGCCATTACAAACAATACATGGACACAGAGGGTATATAAAGGCTCTGAGTGAGGTGCAATACTAGTGAGGTACCATTTCGATGTTCACTAGTGGTAGTAGTAGTAGTAACAAAAATAATACAAAAGGGAAGAGCAAATAATTCGTACATGAGTAAAAGGATATAAAAGCTATTACTTGGGTAACATAAAAATAGGTTGGACAAATATAGACTGGAAAGAGGCAGGTTCTTTTCGGTGTTCACTCTCTGTAATGTGCTTGTGTAGTATAACAGGAGAGACTATGTGATGGCAGGGTTTACTGTTTTCAGGAGGATTCTTGCTAAGACTTCGGAGATGGTGAAGCTGCCGTTGTTTTGTTTAATTGTATTCGAAACAGCGATATATATCTATATATATATATATATATATATACAGTGGACCCCCGCATACCGGACGCCTTGCATAACGGACAATCCGCATACCAGACGCTTTGATCGCTAAAATTTTGCCTCGCATACCGCCCAAAAACCCGTTCAGCGCCCTTCGTCCGAGACGCGTCCAATGTGCGGCCTGAGCCAGCCTCATATGTTCCGCCGGTGGCATTGTTTACCAGCCAGCCTCCGCGGTAACATCCAAGCATACAATCGGAATATTTCGTATTATTACAGTGTTTTCGGTGCTTTATCTGGAAAATAAGTGACCATGGGCCCCAAGAAAGCTTCTAGTTCCAACCCTACAGCAATAAGGGTTAGAATTCCAATAGAGATGAAGAAAGAGATCATTGATAAGTATGAAAGTGGAGTGCATATCACCGACCTGGTCAGGTTGTACAAGAAACCCAAATCAACCATCTCTACTATTGTGGGCAACAGAAAGGCAATCAAGGAAGCTGTTCTTGCCAAAGGTTTAACTGTGTTTTCGAAACAGAGATCGCAAGTGATGGAAGATGTTGAGAGACTCTTATTGGTGTGGATAAATGAAAAACAGCTAGCAGAAGATAGCGTTTCTCAAGCGATCATAAGCGAAAAGGCTAGGAAGTTGCATGAGGATTTAATTAAAAAAGGCCTGCAACTAGTGATGATGTGAGTGAATTTAAGGCCAGCAAAGGTTGGTTTGAGAGATTTAAGAAGCGTAGTGGCATACATAGTGTGATAAGGCATGGTGAGGCTGCCAGTTCGGACCACAAAGCGGCTGAAAAATATGTGCAGGAATTCAAGGAGTACATAGAAACTGAAGGACTGAAACCTGAACAAGTGTTTAATTGTGATGAAACAGGCCTGTTTTGGAAGAAAATGCCAAGCAGGACCTACATTACTCAGGAGGAAAAGGCACTCCCAGGACATAAGCCTATGAAAGACAGGCTTACTTTGTTGATGTGTTCCAATGCTAGTGGTGATTGCAAAGTTAAGCCTTTATTAGTGTATCACTCTGAAACTCCCAGAGCGTTCAGGCAAAAGAATGTCCTCAAGGAGAATTTGTGTGTGCTGTGGAGGGCAAACAGTGAGGCATGGGTCACTAGGGACTTTTTCTATAACTGGTTACACCATGCATTTGCCCCCATGTGAAAGATTACCTAACTGAAAAGAAATTAGAACTTAAGTGCCTCCTGGTGTTAGACAATGCCCCTGGTCATCCTACAGACGTGGCAGAGCGACTTTATGGGGACATGAGCTTCATTAAGGTGAAGTTTTTGCCTCCTAATACCACTCCTCTCCTGCAGCCCATGGACCAGCAGGTTATTGCAAACTTCAAAAAACTGTACACAAAAGCTCTGTTTGAAAGGTGCTTTGTAGTGACCTCAGAAACTCAACTGACTCTAAGAGAGTTTTGGAGAGATCACTTTAATATCCTCAATTGTATAAACCTTATAGGTAAGGCTTGGGAGGGAGTGACTAAGAAGACCTTGAACTCTGCTTGGAAGAAACTGTGGCCAGAATGTGTAGACAAAAGGGATTTTGAAGGGTTTGAGGCTAACCCTGAGAGGAGTATGCCAGTTGAGGAATCAATTGTGGCATTGGGGAAGTCCTTGGGGTTGGTGGAGGACGACAATGAAGAACTAACCACTGATGAGCTGATAGATCAACTTCAAGAGCAAGAGGCCAGACCTGAGGAAACTGGTTCAAAGGAGGGGAGAGAGAAATTGAAGGAATTGCCTACTACAAAGATTAAGGAAATGTGTGCAAAATGGCTTGAAGTGCAAACCTTTTTTGATGAAAATCACCCTCACACAGCTATTGCAAGCCGTGTTGGCAACCTGTACACTGACAATGTTGTGAAACACTTTAGGGAAGTCATAAAGGAACGAGAGGTACAGGCCACTATGGACAGATATGTTGTGCGAAAGAAGTCCAGTGACTCTGAAGCTGGTCCTAGTGGCATTAAAAGAAGAAGGGAAGTAACCCCAGAAAAGGACTCGACACCTCAAGTCTTAATGGAAGGGGATTCCCCTTCTAAACACTAACACTCTCTCTCCCCTCCTCCCATCCCATCAATCATCACCAGATCTTCAATAAAAGTAAGTGTCATGTAATTGTGCATGCCTTTTTCAGTTTGTGTGTATTAAAATTAACATTTCATGTGGTAAAAATTTTTTTTTTCATACTTTTGGGTGTCTTGCATGGATTAATTTGATTTCCATTATTTCTTATGGGGAAAATTCATTCGCATACCGAACATTTCGCATAACAGCCAGCCCTCTTGCACGGATTAAGGTCGCTATGCGGGGGTCCACTGTATATATCTATATATATATATATATATATAATGTATATTACCTTTTCATATAATTTTATATTGCTTATATTTGCGATAATAGCTAAATCGTAAATGTACTGCTTTATATTGTTATTTGACTTATGTTGTTAGGATGTAACATATTAAGTGCTCAGTTGAAGTCTTGATTGTCAAACTACTGTAATTATCGCTTGTAGCTCGTTAGACTGCCGGCTTCTGAGCTGCAATTGTCCATGTAGCTATCACGTGATCGAGGGGAAGGGGGTTGTTCTCACCTCGCCTGAAGTATTCAGTCTGCTCTAGACTCTCTTGGTGGTTGGACAGATTGTCTGTCTCATTATTCTTGTTAGTTCTGTAGAACTCTGTTCACAGAACATTGTATAGACTTCGTGATTTTCGACATTGTACTGAGGTTGTGTGTCACATAGACACTCTGAGTAACTTCTCACTTAACTTGTACTGGTATCTGTGTATTATCACAGTCAGGGATTTTCTTACGCTGAACTTAGATTCAGTAGTATGGGAGTTTTGTGACTTTTGTGGAGGATCTGCAGATGGTCCCTACGTAGTGTCGTTATATTATCTCCTTGTTCCTGATTCTGTGTCGCAGTTGCTTGTTGTATTGCTATTGGGCTTAGCATTCTTTTTGTTGTTCAAGCAGACTGTTCTGGTTGCCAGTCGGTCAAGAAGTTAGTTTATTTGAGGACTTAGTCAGTCACTTGTTTAAGTCTAGTCGAGTCGTGAGACAGAGAACTACTTAGAGCACTTACACACATACACACAAACTTGTACATATTTGTAATATCTTATTAAATGTTAATGTACCAGATGGTACTTAAGAATTATAAATGTGATATGTGCTTTCAGCACAATAATATTGTACTTGAGAGAAGTGATATTATTTTGATTACTGTGATTAATTTAATTTAATTTACTTTGATAATATACCTCTAGACTTAATAAATTTATTAAATTTTAATTTCTCTAGTTAGTAGCCTACCAGTTGTAATCCTGAAGCACTATTGAATAATATTGATTTCTAATGGATAATTGGACAAGGATACTGACTACTTGTTACGAAAACCCAGTAACAGGCTGGATGCTAGAAGGGCAGTCCTTTCTAGTATTCACTGGAGATCTCTAAGCTTTTAGAATCGCATTTTTTGTAACAACCTCTAACTCTCCATTTAATAACTCTCCTCTCCTATTTTTAACTGACAAATCCATTTGTTCTCTAGGCTTCCTTAACTTGTTTATCTCATTCCAAAACTTTTTCTTATTTTCAACAAAATTTGTTGATAACATCTCACCCACTCTCTCATTTGCTCTCTTTTTACATTGCTTCACCACTCTCTTAACCTCTCTCTTTTTCTCCATATACTCTTCCCTCCTTGCATCACTTCTACTTTGTAAAAACTTCTCACATGCTAACTTTTTCTCCCTTACTACTCTCTTTACATCATCATTCCACCAATCGCTCCTCTTCCCTCCCGCACCCACTTTCCTGTAACCACAAACTTCTGCTGAACACTCTAACACTACATTTTTAAACCTACCCCATACCTCCTCGACCCCATTGCCTATGCTCTCATTAGCCCACCTATCCTCCAATAGCTGTTTATATCTTACCCAAACTGCCTCCTCTTTTAGTTTATAAACCTTCACCTCTCTCTTCCCTGATGCTTCTATTCTCCTTGTATCCCATCTACCTTTTACTCTCAGTGTAGCTACAACTAGAAAGTGATCTGATATATCTGTGGCCCCTCTATAAACATGTACATCCTGAAGTCTACTCAACAGTCTTTTATCTACCAATACATAATCCAACAAACTACTATCATTTTGCCCTACATCGTATCTTGTATACTTATTTATCCTCTTTTTCTTTAAATATGTATTACCTATAACTAAACCAATTTCTATACAAAGTTCAATCAAAGGGCTCCCATTATCATTTACACCTGGCACCCCAAACTTACCTACCACACCCTCTCTAAAAGTTTCTCCTACTTTAGCATTCAGGTCCCCTACCACAATTACTCTCTCACTTGGTTCAAAGGCTCCTATACATTCACTTAACATCTCCCAAAATCTCTCTCTCCTCTACATTCCTCTCTTCTCCAGGTGCATACACGCTTATTATGACCCACTTTTTGCATACAACCTTTACTTTAATCCACATAATTCTTGAATTTACACATTCATATTCTCTTTTCTCCTTCCATAACTGATTCTTCAATATTACTGCTACCCCTTCTGATGTAAATTATGTGGTAGTTCCCATTGATAAGACCTCAAAAACTAAAACTTAGCACATTAATGAATTAAAATCTTTTCATACACCAGATAAAGTCCCAGTAATGACTCTGTCCTCTACCTCTGAGGACGACTCTGATTCTTTGCACTCTATCTCTAAAATTAATGTTAAACTTTCAAATTCTGTCCTCCTCAAGGACCCTTGCCCTTTAATGGAGGGACTATCTGAAACGCAAGCAACAAGTTTAACTGACCTTCTACAGTCATACCCTAATATTTTTTCGGATGTGCTGAAAAAATGTACGTTAGGTTATCATGATGTAGATGTGGGAAACTCTAAACCTATTAAACTCTCCCCCTGCAGAGCTAATCCTGAAAAGCAGAGGCTACTTCAGCAGGAAGTAGAATTTCTGTTAAAGCATGGTTTAGTGGAGGAGTCATCTAGTCCATGGGCTTCACCGTGCATCCTTGTAAAGAAGGCTTATGGAGGGTTTCCTATGTGTACAGACTACTGTAAGGTGAATGAGGTCACAATTACAGATGCTTACCCTCTTCCTTGTCTGAATGACATAATTGACTGTGGGTAAGGCTACTTTTGTGTCCAAGTTAGATCTCCTTAAAGGTTACTATCAGGCGAAGGAAATCTTTGCCTTCGTAATTCCAGGAGATCGTTATCAATACAGTTACCCCCTTCGGAATGAAAAACTCCCCCTCTTCATTCCAGAAACTTATCCATCAAGCTATTAAAGGACTTGAAGGCACGGCAGCGTACCTAGATGATATTGTTGTGATGTCTGATACTTGGGATCAACACCTACTTAGACTTAAGGCTCTCTTTGAGACCTTTCAGAGTTCCATTTAACTGTTAATTTATCTAAATCTTCCTTTGGCCAGGCCACTATCACTTTTCTAGGCCATGAAGTCGGTAGTGGTAAAGTTGCTCCTAAACTTGCTAAAGTTCTTGCTATTAAAGATTATCCAGTTCCGTATGATAGGAAATCTCTTCAATGTTTCCTAGGCATGATAGGATTTTACAGAAGATTCTATAAGAATTTCTCAGATATTGTAGCCCCTCTTACCTCTCTTTACCAGTCATAAAGTTCCCTTTAATTGGACCCCAGACTGTAAAAATGCTTTTGACAAAGCAAAAAGATTGTGTACTGCACCCATTCTTTTGTCCCCAGACTTCTCCAGGTTGATGCTTGTGAGTCTGGGGTTGGGGCAGTATTATTGCAAAACGGGAACGAGGAGTTGCAGCCTGTAGCCTTTTTTTCCTCCAAGTTCCAGCCGCATCAGAGGGCTTACTCTACCATTGAAAAAGCCCTCGCGCTAGTACTGGCTTTGGAGCATTTCAATGTTTATGTGGGCCAGACATCGCAGGTGGTCACTGTCTACAGTGATCACAATCCTCTAGTATATCTCCAAGCCATGAAGAACCACAACACAAGGCTCATGTGTCGGGCTTTACGACTGCAACCCTTTCAAGCTCTTTTTTTTTTATCCCCCTGGTGTGGGTTTTTTTTTAGTGAGGGGATGCGGGCTACCGTCCGCCTGTATCTTGGACCTATGCTAGGTCCGAGTTTAGGGTTTGGCTTTTGGTCACGAGAAAAGCTGAGCTCTATCTAAGAGTTGGATGGTGGAGAGGAAAGGCGGTCCCATTATTTTGTGCCATGGCGGCACGGTTACCACTGGGAGGTGGCAGCCTAATCCTGAGCCTTCTCGGCGTGGGGTTGTGGCATGCAAAGAGTACGTAACCTTTATTTGACGCATGTACACACCCTCATTTACAGGCTATCTCTCCCAACCAGCGAACCAGGTAACTAAGAGTTGACGATGGGGCCCCGTCGTTCAACTAGTAACCAGGTTCCAGCCAATAATAAGATGGTTTTGGCAATCGCAGAGGTTATGTGGGTACCACTCTCCTGTCTGCCCTTTTCATTCCCATTCTAGAGCTGGTTGAAGCACGGTCTGCTCTATAGTGTACATATTGCTGTTCTGAATTGGTGAAGGATAATATAAGTCAAAACTTTTCTGCTGTGTTTATTTTGCTCCCATTACACTCCTGGGTTGTAATACATACAATACTTAGTAGTTGGTGAATAAGACACATTCAATACAAGTCTTCATATATTCAGCTGAAGAGGCCTGCACAGGCTTATATATTCAAGTGGACTGTGTCATGCACTTCTGAAGTCTAAATTATTTAATCAAGTGATTCTGTACATGAACATTAGATTCTAGACACAAGGAAACAAAGATTCTAGACACAAGGAAAATTAAAATTAAACCGACTTACCTGAGTTGGAAGAGTTTCTGAGTCTATCTTGAGCTTTTTATTAGACTCTGGACTGTTTCGACTTGGAGAGTCTGGGGGTAAAGGGTCAGACTTACGCTTCTGTCCTATTGGTCGTGGTTGCCCTCCTTCCTCGATTTTGGACTTGTATTTGTCTAATATATCTTGTGATAGATAGTTGGTCAACTGTTTCCGTTTGACGTACTTGCAGTTCACCTCCATTCCCTCCTTATAAGCCTTGTTGTAGGTACTTTGCTTGTACACTGCAAGGAGAAAGATTGAAATACATGCATTAAAATGGTTTAATGTTTGAAAATCCAGACTAAAATACATGGCCCTAGGCCACACCAGAATTATTTTACCCCATTTTTTAACATACTGGCCATCTCTCCCACCAATTTCTATCCTCTCTACTTATCCCACCAAGACAGGGTGACCTAAAAAGAAAAAAGTTTCTCTTTTTAAATTTAGTAATGTACACAGAAGAGGTTACTAGCCCCTTGCTCCTGGCACTTTAGTTGCCTCTTATGACATGCATGGATTACAGAAGAATTCTGTTCCACTTCCCCAAAGCTATTACATTACATTGCTCAATTTCCTCATATCAATCATTTAATACAGCTAATACTTATATTTTGTACTTAAGTCGTGAAAATCTTACCAAAGATGTTAATATTTTTATAATCACTTACCTACTTCAACAAACTTATTGATGTCATTGGTGAGATCTATGTTTACATTCTCTGATTTATTGAAGTCAACTCCTAGGAACCAAGATGAGTGGGGTTTGTCCACATATTCGTTGTCGCGACAATTAAACGTTGCAGGGTTAATGTGAACAGTTTTTATTGCAACATTGTGCTCTAAGGTGGCGATTAGGTGTCTAATTTTTGACTCTACAAGGCCATACCATTCTAGGTGATCCTCTGGGGTTCGAGCAACAGCGATCACCACAAGGTAGTGTCTGTCGAGGAAGAAACATTAAAACTATAACAATTAGCAACCACAAGTATTAGAGAAAAACAAAACACACTAAAGGATTGAACTGTAAGATTAATTTTTTTTACGACACTGGCCATCTCCAACTGAGATAGGGTGACCCACAAAAGAGGAAACACATTCACTAGCATTTAGTCAATTGCTGTCTGAAAGAATCACATTCACCATCACTAATCGTCTTGTCATCGTATATAGATGTTGCTATTCAAATTTCACAGCCTTTATCTATTTACCATTAATAACAATTGATAACTACTACAAACCTAGGTAGTAGACTGGTAGACAGCAACCATCCAAGGAGGTACTACTACACTACTGAAGTGTAGAGTGCCTACACTCTACACTTCAGATGTCAACATATTTTGCAAAAAGCAGTACTAGAAGAATGAGACACTTATGCACCATTTGGGTATCTTTATTGTGGAAATATTTTGCAAGCTTGTGGCTACTTCAGTCCAACACACAAACCGCTGGCCGGCAAAACATTCCCACAATAAAAACTGCCCAAATGTTGTACAAATATCTCATTCTTCAACTTGTCAGTTGACCTAAACAATTTACATCAAGGCAATAGTAGCATGAATGATTGTGAAAGTTTACTCTCATTTGGGTCACTCTACCTCACTGGGAGATTAAACAAAACAAAATACCAAAAATAAACATACTTGTATTTAGTAAAAAAGTTTGGAGGCTGGAAGAGTTTATCCCAGGTGGCTTTAGCCAGCATGATGTCTTCTGTTATCTGTAAACCTGCTTTAAATTCCTCAACCATAACTGCTCTTGTTGACTGAGAGGTATTGAAAGTTGAGTTCTGCTGGGGATATGCAGGTGTGATGATGGGCATTAAATGAAATCTATCTTGGACATTCACTCGAGGATCCCACACCTGAAAAGACCAAGAGCAATGTAATAATAAAAAATATGTACAGAAACTGGAAATTTCCTGAAGGAACTTTTCAGGATCTGGTGTTGATGTTGCATTGTGAGATGCTAGCACCAACAGGCTGAGTGATCAGGCTATCGACAAAGAAGATTCGTCTGGGACTAGACTGCAGGGGTATTGAACCCTAGATATAACTTCCGAGAGCTTCAACACACCATAAAACGGCAAATATTTATCAGATTCTACTCATTTCAGTCTTATTCAATTCAGAAAAGTATACTTTTAAACTAAGATTTTCTTTTTTTAAATTCCTCACTCCCCACACACACAATTTTATTTTCCAGATATGCCACAGCTGAGGGAGTTAATGTTGAATAAATCTAGTGGCTACCTGTGAATCTAAGAAAAAATTACTTGTTAACTTGCAGTTGAGCTAACATTTAACAAATAGAAAATATTACTACTGGAATACAGAGGTACCTTTCATACATCTCCAGTAAAAACTAAATTCTCTTCAATATCTGAATGAAGTTATGGTAGTAGGTTGGTAGACAGCAACCACCCAGGGAGGTACTACCATCCTGCCAAGTGAGTGTAAAACAAAAGCCTGTAGGATTGCTGGTGTCCTTTTTTCTGTCTCATGAACATGCAAGATTTCAGGTACATCTTGCTACTTCTACTTACACTTAGGTCACACTACACATACATGTACAAGCATATATATACACACACCTCTGGGGTTTCTTCTATTTTCTTACTAGTTCTTATACTTGTTTAAGTCCTCTTATCTCCATGGGAAAGTGGAACAGAATTCTTCCTCCGTAAGCCATGTGTGTTGTAAGAGGCGACTAAAATGCAAGGGGCTGGTAACCTCTGAATGAGGTTTGCTGACAAGGTTCAACATTTTGGTACTAACATTACCTAAGTGTAGCACATGTGAAAAATACATCAATTAGAAACACTTACCTTAAAACCAAGCTTGGCATCGTAAGGTTGTTTGAGGTATACCGGTGCTGGCCACGTCCATTTTGAAAACACGAGGAAGAATTTTTCCACGAGTGTCGACGCTGTAGCATTAGGGTACAGCTGACATGTGCGTGCGACCAGCATAGCCCATGAAACTCCACCAAGATATCCAAAGACGTTACTGTATACACCATGACCTGTTGATATATAAGCATAACTTAAAAACCAAAGGATCACTACTATGCTGGCCTACCTTAGATAGGTTTTATGTATAACTTAAAAATTAAAGGATCACTACCTTAGCTAAGTTTTATATAGCCTCTCCTCACTTAACGACGGAGTTCCGTTCCTAAGACCACGTTCGTAAATGAATTCATCGCTAAGTGAGGAGCATACCATAATGGTAGTGGGTTTGTGTCCACCATCTTTGACACTGTTTTAATGTTACCTTTGCACCATTTATTACACTTTTGGTATGTATTTTTAAATGTTTATTACAGTACTATATACTGTAATAAAGAGAATAGAGGAAATCAGCTCTAATATACATTATTTAGGTATGCATACTGGTTGGAGAGCCCATCGTAAGTCCGAGTCGCCGGTAAACAATTATATCACTAAGTGAGGAGAGGCTGTATAAAACTTAAAAACCAAAGGATCACTACCTTAGCTAGGTTTTATACATAACTTAGAAACCAATGGATCACTAAATGATAGTATCCTAAGTGAATCAAAATGAAACATTTTTCCCTTCAAGGTCAGTCTAGTATATCTGAAGATAAGAAAATAATTAAAAATTTTAAATACTCACGTTTAGCCCATAACTTTATTGCCCTTAAAGCCAAACGAAAACTTTCTCTGTTTGGCACTTGGCGTAAAATTTCATCAGTCACGCGACACCCATTAAGACTTCGCACGCACTTCTCATCCAGGTTTTTTAGAATAGTGTCATCCTTTAGGTCTACAGAGTCAGGTACCTCCTTTAACGCTAACCGAGCGAACAGAAGATCAATCTCTATTCCCTCGTATTTCATTTTAATGACAGGTACAAATGCTTCTTCTACGGCCTAAGACATTGAAAGAAATATTCATTAGCACAGTAACCTTAGACACAATATATTTGTATACAATGCAGTAGCTATATAGCTGAAAAGTAGTACATATTAAAAATTTATGATGTACAATATATTTATGAAAGTACTCGGGAAACTGGTTAGGTGTGAGCTGTTAGGTGTGAGCACTTACACTCTGGAAGAGGAGTGGGGAACGGTGGGGGTTTTGCAAGTCAAAGAGTTACTTGAACTGTGATGCCCTACCTAGGTAGATGACGACTAGCATAACAAAAATATTGAAAAAAATTACATTCCTATAATGCAAGCAGTCATCCCTCTAAATTCATAGGATATTACATTACCCTTCCACTGTCCATTACATTGAATTACATCACTGAGACAGGGGTCACTGATGCAGTTCTCTGTCAGGAAAGCAATGAGCAGTAAATTTTGGTCTAGAATGAGAGTATGGATTTGTGAGGCAAGTGTGCACAGTATAAAAAAAAATCCTGCCTCATGCATGCTGCAAAAAACAAAACTGTGACTATGTGTATGGTGTAAAATTAAGGAATATACAAATGCTAAGAAATTCCAGCCCATTCACACCTTAATGCTTGTAACATAAACAATAAAAACTTACACGCATCTCTGTTACTTCTGGCTGATCCTTCAAGAGGTCATAAAAGCTACCAAAATAGTCACTTCGTTCAATGTGTCTTGGAGCAACACACAAAGCGTCAATATCCGCACCTTTGCCAGCCACTCCAAGTCGGTAAGATCCAAATGTACAAATCTTTCCACCAACTGTATCTGCAATCTGAAGATGTATATACGGTATTAAGGAGATATAATGGAGAAGCAATATGTCTGCTGTCAACAGTTGATCAGTAAGTGAGATGGATGAGACAGAGAGAAAGGGGGGGTGAGTGAGATGTGCGAGAAAGAGGGGCGAGTGAGATGTGCGAGAAAGAGGGGCGAGTGAGATGTGCGAGAAAGAGGGGCGAGTGAGATGTGCGAGAAAGAGGGGCGAGTGAGATGTACGAGAAAGAGGGGCGAGTGAGATGTACGAGAAAAAGGGGCGAGTGAGATGTACGAGAGAGAGGGGTGAGTGAGATGTACTAGAAAGAGGGGCGAGTGAGATGTACGAGAAAGAGGGGCGAGTGGTGAGTGAGAGCAATAAAAGCTGGAGGGAGGGAGGGTAGGGAGAATGTTGACAAAATTCATCATATAATTCATTTTTCAAAAGATGACTACTGTATGCACAGTATATTTTGTGTGTAGTGGGTTCCTAAATATTTAATATCAGTCTAATAAAAATATAGTATTTTTTAATAATTTTTCTCAAGTTTCTTTTAGGTCACTTACATTTATATTTATATTTATCAAATAATATACAAATATTATTGCCCTCATTGATAATAACAAAAGTTTGAATCTACAGGTCAACAACCCAAATTTAAGCTCTGAGCTAGAGTGGATTCCAACCACACAATAGTTTTTAAGAGTTCTTTTCAAACTTGAAGTTACAAATAATAGAATTCATGTGAAAGAATGTCATGAAAGAAAATAAATTGAAAGATCTTGCATGAAGGTAAAAAAAATAATGTGTACCAACCTAAAAAAAATAAATATAATATTTATTGAAGGGATTCAGGGAAGTGCAGTGCCTGCACTCTGAAGGAGGGAGTGGATGTGGGAAGTACAGTGCCTGCACTCTTAAGGAGGGGGTGGATGTGGGAAGTACAGTGCCTGCACTCTGAAGGAGGGGGTGGATGTGGGAAGTACAGTGCCTGCACTCTGAAGGAGGGGGTGGATGTGGGAAGTACAGTGCCTGCACTCTGAAGGAGGGGGTGGATGTGGGAAGTACAGTGCCTGCACTCTGAAGGAGGGGGTGGATGTGGGAAGTACAGTGACTGCACTCTTAAGGAAGATGTAATTATTTTAACTGCTATGTCAACATTCTTCTGGCAAGAGAGCAATTGAAAGATTGTGGGGGAGGGGGTCACCTTGGTGAGAAATAGCCAGTGTGTCAAGTGTGTAAGAAGTGGGACATAAAGTAACTGATAAAAACTCACCTGAGGAGGCATATTCTTAACGTTGATGCTTACATCTCGTATCCACTGTGTCACCAACGTATTCAACTTGCCCAACACCTCAAATCTGAATAGAGAGAAAGAATGCACTGTCATATGAGAAATAGTGGAACTGGTACTGATTAGCTGTAGGTACAAAACATTAAGGCACAAGTATTATCTCAAGCAATACTTTCAACAAATCTTTCCAGATGCTCTGGAGAGCCAGGATAACACTGATCCACAAAGGTAGTAATGTTACTAACTACAGACCAATCTCTAATCTTCAATTACTATCAAACATATTGGAGAAACTGATCCACAAGCAACTGTAAATGTACCTAACATAGCACAATGTACTTACTCCTAGCTAATTTGGATTCAGACATAAAAAAAAGTAATGATGCAATAATAAAAATGCACAACACTGTTTATTGAAGAGAAATGAACATCTTTTTTGTCGATCAATGAAACCCCTTTTGATACCACTGATCACAGCATATTACTACTCAAGAGGAAAGTTACACATATTTCCAACTCCCCATCATCCCCCTAGCAATGTAAAGTTTAAAACAAGTTGAATGTAATTAAACTGACCTGTGATTCAACTCTGCATCAGTCTCAAACATTCCTGCATCTCGAAGGTATTCTTCCAGTTCCTTTGTGTGTTCTAAATCGGAAGGCTTGGGTTTGGCCAGGCTGATTGCTGATGTCATGCCCAGTGTTTTACTGGCATCCATGTTGTCTGTAAATATACCGTCAATTAGTTACTACAGCATATAATGAGTTCATGAAAAGTAGGAATAACAGTAGGAACAGAAACACAATATTTGATAATTAAAGATAAAGATGCCAGTCAGTAAAACTGAGGGTTCACTCTGTATTCAAATTCATAATTGATTTCCACATGTGGGTATATTTCCAGTCATGAAGGTACTGAGGATATAACAGTGGTAGATGCATCTGCCACAAGACACTTGGTGAAGTAACTCAACTGTGTGAAAATCAGTTACAATAGACAGAGATACACTAGGAATAGAGTAAAGCGAGTAATTTACAACATTAAAGAGAGGATCAGCTTACAATAATAGGTAGACCAATGTTAGCAACTACGATGAGTTTTCACTTACAAAAAATGAGAATTTTTGGGTTATACTGATGGGTAATTTACACTATATATCATAATTGTTCTTATGTATTCATGTGTCTAAATAAACTTACTAGTGTAAACTACCTGGGAAAACTAAAATTAATATTCAAGTGAGATTCCTAAAATTATTTTTGCATTTATGCTTTGGCAGGAAATAATTTGCATGCAAATAATCCAATCTTTTGGTTTTTATATTCATGAAATAATGCAAGGGAAGAATAATTTCAGGTCCTTGGATCAAGAGCCCCTCAATAGCACCAGGGAGACCCTTGAGAATTCTATTATTTTCTTACATTCGATATTAAGAGTGGAGTAACACTGAGTATCAAATTCTATAATTTCTATAATTCTATATCAAATTCTATAATTTTTTTCAATATAAACCAAAAGTAAAAAGTAACCCAGACCAACCCACCGAAAATTTACATCTAAATCTAAGTTAACCCTTAAACGGTCCAAACGTATATATACATTCACCTGCGCAGTGTCCCGAATATTCTGAGGGAAAAAAATATTTTTTTTAATAGGAAAAAAAGGCATGTGGTGCCCAGGCGTCCCCAATTTTTTTCACATGGCGCACACTGAGTGCGCACACCCATTCTCTCATGTCTAGGCGACTCAGGCCCATCGTGCCAATGTTGAATGAATGACAAATGAAACATATATATACGTTTGGGACGCTACACGAGAGAACGTATATACAGTGGACCCCCGGTTTACGATATTATTTCATTCCAGAAGTATGTTCAGGTGCCAGTACTGACCGAATCTGTTCCCATAAGGAATATTGTGAATTAGATTAGTCCATTTCAGACCCCAAACATACACGTACAAACGCACTTACATAAATACACTTGCATAATTGGTCGCATTGGGAGCTGATCATATAGCGGGGGTCCACTGTATATGTTTGGACCGTTTAAGGGTTAAGTAAACTTTTTTTGCAACTGCCTACCAATGGATTATCTTTATCTTTTGCCACAATGGACAGGTTCATACAGTATCTCTGTTGTACAATCCATATGATATTTTATAGTTCGCATATTGCTACACTCACAGGCTCCTAAACTTGCTGTTAACTCGTACAAAAATTATGAAAAGTGTTAGAGAAGTTAACGTTAATTTTCCAAAAATGGAAATACGAGGACCAAAGTGGAAATACGAGGACCAAAGTGGAAATACGAGGACCAAAGTGGAAATACGAGGACCAAAGTGGAATACGAGGACCAAAGTGGAAATACGAGGACCAAAGTGGAAATACGAGGACCAAAGTGGAAATACGAGGACCAAAGTGGAAATACGAGGACCAAAGTGGAAATACGAGGACCAAAGTGGAAATACGAGGACCAAGTGGAAATACGAGGACCAAAGTGGAAAATACGAGGACCAAAGTGGAAATACGAGGACCAAAGTGGAAATACGAGGACCAAAGTGGAAATACGAGGACCAAAGTGAAAATACGAGGACCAAAGTGAAAATACGAGGACCAAAGTGAAAATACGAGGACCAAACTGAAAATACGAGGACCAAACTGAAAATACGAGGACCAAACTGAAAATACGAGGACCAAAATGAAAATACGAGGACCAAAATGAAAATACGAGGACCAAAATGAAAATACGAGGACCAAAATGAAAATACGAGGACCAAAATGAAAATACGAGGACCAAAATGAAAATACGAGGACCAAAATGAAAATACGAGGACCAAAATGAAAATACGAGGACCAAAATGAAAATACGAGGACCAAAATGAAAATACGAGGACCAAAATGAAAATACGAGGACCAAAATGAAAATACGAGGACCAAAATGAAAATACGAGGACCAAAATGAAAATACGAGGACCAAAATGAAAATACGAGGACCAAAATGGAAACAAGTCACTTTTTGGGTTATCGTGGTGGGTAATTTACACTGTATGATAATAACGGAACTTATGTGTACCAGTATATAAACAAACCTACTAGTATGCTGAACCACAGAAGGAAAAATGGTGAACTTATTTCTCCTAACTTTTAGTGAGTTGTAGCCATGGGGTCGTGACTTTTATATTATCAATGATGCTAGAGGGTAAAACAAGCAGCGGTACTTGCCCTGCGACAGGTCCAGAGTGGCGGAGAAAGTGACCCTGGGCTTGTGAGCTCTAGATCCTCAGGTCTGAGCTGACCATCAGCCCAACACTTGCAACAATCTCTCCCTGGGTTCGACTCCCCTCCGCACTCTCATACACAACGTACGTGGTCGCACTTTTTTCCACTTATATCGTGCTGCACTCAGAACACATTTCTCCGGTAGATCATTGTATCTGTATGGGGTCGGTGGTCGCTGCTCCCACCATTACTACATCACTGACTGCTGACGTAGCAGCAGCAGCTATGGGGTACGGTGGGTACTATGGGGTACGGTGGGTACTATGGGGTTTCCCCTTAATTGGGGGTTGTCAGGGGGTTAACCTCGAGGGGGTAATTAAGTAGGTTGACCCCCAGCAGCAGGTTCACGTCACTAGGGGGGGGATTTACCCCTTAATTGTGACTTTCGAGTGTGTCAGCAGGACACCTGCCGCTGATGACTCCAGCAGGTTAACTAGCTAACATGTGAGTCACTACTAGGCTCCACCTGCTGCTTCACACACTCCCTCACCCTCTCTCAACTTTCTGCTGAGCAGAAACACTAGTAGGTGAGCAGAGTGAGGATATAAGAGGGTGATAGAGGCGCCTCAGTAACCTGGTAAACAAAGCTCACTAGACTGACAACAACAAACATGGCGGACAACACTTCCCATGACGTCACAACTTCCCACTTTCTTTGATCAACTCCGCCAGGGATCATATATATATAAAACTTTAATTGCTTTATAATAATAATAATAAAATAACTATAAAAAATTTTGTTAAAGTTACAATGTGTGTTTATGTATCATAATTTGATTGGAGCAAAGAAAGCCACCATCATGGCGAGGTATTTCGTGTGCTTATACACACATCTTCAGGGGAATGTTAGCACATGAGAGCTCAGGTTTTATTTAATATATTCACTGTGATTTTCTTTCTTCATATTTGCAGTCAAGGGTTTTATTGTCAAGTCTTCCAAATACAACTTTATATTCACCTCAATATATACATATCTCTGTATACAAACTGGTATATTTTACTACATATGTTGTGGAATAAAATATTTTTTTTACTGATGGTGAGGTTACATACAACTTTATGTAGTAGATAGACTTTAAACCCCCATTAACCATGTCTATCACTGTGTACCGGTGGCCCAGTGGCTAAAGCTCCCGCTTCACACACGGAGGGTCCGGGTTCGATTCCCGGCGGGTGGAAACATTTCGACACGTTTCCTTACACCTGTTGTCCTGTTCACCTAGCAGCAAATAGGTACCTGGGTGTTAGTCGACTGGTGTGGGTCGCATCCTGGGGGACAAGATTAAGGACCACAATGGAAATAAGTTAGACAGTCCTCGATGACGCACTGACTTTCTTGGGTTATCCTGGGTGGCTAACCCTCCGGGGTTAAAAATCCGAACGAAATCTTATCTTACACACTAAAATATTGACTGTTATAGAACACGTTACATAGAGATATAATAACCTTCATGTATTTGATTGGATTTCAACCACTATTAACTAAGGAATTAAAATAATTTCGACTGATATTAACACAAACCTGAAATGCTCTACACAATCCTACAGACTTTTGATAACATATAATTGGAAAATCCTAGAGGAACTAATACCAAATTTGTACACGGAAATCCCTATGACAGCACGAGATGTAACATTACCCCAGTGAAAAACGGGCACCACGAGTACACTAAGAGACAACAATAAGTGTCAGGGGACCAAGACTGTTCAACTGCCTCCCAGCATACATAAACCCCTGGCTGTCTTCAAGACACAACATTAACTCTTTTAGTTGAAGTCTTGGCAGTAAAGATTGAAACGCAACCTTGTCGTTGTGGTTGTATGACAGCCTCCACTGCAATTGGCTGTCTGGAGAACCTTTTAACTGAGATTTGTAGTTAACAATGTTTTAGCAGAGATAATAACCCCAGGAGGCATCTCAAATAAAAATGTCAGAAATCTGCACCAAATTCACTTTAAGCCAGTAAATAATGGAGCCAACAAGACTGAAAAACACGACCTCATCTTCACTGATAATCTGGTAAGAAATATAACAGTAACGAAGACAACAGAAATAGACATGTCTGTGCAGGAGCCTTCACCAAATTCAACTTCAATAACAAAAACATACATTGGGAAAAAGTCAATAATGTCCTAAAATTCAGTGTTATTCACTAATCTTTGCAAGAGAGCCACTTCGGTTAAACACATTGATTGAGAGAGCCGCAGCTACTGCAAGTTAGCGTAACTCAACTAAATTAAGTACACTGAGCTGCTAGCGCTCGCGAATACCACTGTCCTAAATGAAACAAGCTGGGAAGATATCCTAAACAACATGGATCCGTTACCTTTGCCTAGAAAGAATTAACTCTGTGGTTCCTGATTAATTCGAGAATTTCTGATATAATAACGTGTCTTAAATATTCTATGGAGAAGAAATAGACACAAGGGCCCTTCCGAGTCACTAAAAACAACAGATATAGCCCTGTAACATAGTCTTGGATGGTCTCCCCTGCCTCTCCCAACTACTGGACCACTGTGATATAGCCCTGGATGGTCGCTCCTACCTCTCACAACTACTGGACCACTGTGATATAGCCCTGGATGGTCGCTCCTACCTCTCACAACTACTGGACCACTGTGATATAGCCCTGGATGGTCGCTCCTACCTCTCACAACTACTGGACCACTGTGATATAGCCCTGGATGGTCGCTCCTACCTCTCACAACTACTGGACCACTGTGATATAGCCCTGGATGGTCTCCCCTGCCTCTCCCAACTACTGGACCACTGTGATATAGCCTGGATGGTCTCCCTGCCTCTCCAACTACTGGACCACTGTGATATAGCCCTGGATGGTCTCCCCTGCCTCTCCCAACTACTGGACCACTGTGATATAGCCCTGGATGGTCTCCCCTGCCTCTCCCAACTACTGGACCACTGTGATATAGCCCTAGATGGTCGCTCCTACCTCTCCCAACTACTGGACCACTGTGACTTTGGATGTACTGGAGGACAGATACAGATGTAGTATACACGGACTTTGAAAACCCTCAACAAGTGCCATCATGGCGTAATAGCGCACAAAATGCGTGGTAAAGGAATAACAGTAACAGTAAAGTCAGTGGCGGCTACAGTGAAAAACTCCGTTCCACAGGGTACAGTACAGATTGGTTGATCAGGCCCTGATCCATCACGAACAATAAATTCCAATATCAGTACTAACCTAGAACACTTTAAAGTTGCAACCCGGACACGGGTATGTCATAGACTAAGTAGGTACCCCAGGTACCTACTGACTGCTAGTGAACAGGACAACAGGCGTAAGGAAACACGTCCAATGTTTCTACTCTTGCCGGGAATCGAACCAGGAGAGAGAGCACAACTTAGTAGTACCCACAGACAGTGGCCAGGCTTCAAACACTTTATTGTACAGCAATAAAGGAATGGAACAGACTGCCTGCACATGTCAAAGCCAGTGACTTAAGAAATCGTAATGACACGATTGCAAATAAACCATACCCGCGGCCGGGATTGAATCCGCGGTCATAGAGTCTCAAAACGCGACGGGCTGGAGTTTTGAGACTATGACCGCGGGTTCAATCCCGGCCGAGGGTATGGTCAAAGCCAGTCATTGCATGAACCAGTTCAAGAAGACTGCCAAAAGGTGTCTGATGAATGTAGCTACAGAAAGGGAGGGGAATGATTTTCTATTTTTTAGCTAACATACGTGTAAATTTTACCTTATTCCTAGTAATGACCCTCGTGTAGTAGATAGTGTTAATGACCCTCGTGTAGTAGATAGTCTTAATGACCCTCGTGTAGTAGATAGTCTTAATGACCCTCGTGTAGTAGATAGTCTTAATGACCCTCGTGTAGTAGTCTTAATGACCCTCGTGTAGTAGTCTTAATGACCCTCGTGTAGTAGATAGTCTTAATGACCCTCGTATAGTAGATAGTCTTAATGACCCTCGTGTAGTAGACAGGACAACAATGGAAATAAGTCACTGACTTTTTTGGGTTATTCCAGGTTCTCTACACACATGCTGCTATGTATGATAATTCTATGTAACTGTATTGTGTATACCTGAATAAACTTACTCTGAGCGTGTGAAGCAAGATCTTTACCTACCAGGCCACGGACCGACCTTATTTTCGTACATTAGTTTACCCTATTATGTAATTGATAATTACAAGCGTAATAACTCGTGTACACGATAGGCTGTAACCCCAATTAATCACCCTCCCATACGTCTACAAAATGAAGCAATTATCACACTGGTATGAAGCGCTAAACTATCATGAGTTGCTCAGTGCAAGAACTGGAAACTCGATCCTCCTTCCTCCTACCAGACATTCATTTGAGAAAAACAATAATGAAAATAAATGGTATAAAATACCGACACAATGGAAACATAAATACATGTGCAGTTTAATGTGATCCTTTGTTGACAACGTTTCGTCCACACAGTCAGTGATTTGAAAAAAGCCACTGTGTGGCCGAAACGTTGTCAATAAAGGGTCACATTAAACTGCCAGAAAAACAATAATAATAATGGACGGAACGATATGTTTCGTCAACCAGTGGCTTCCAATACAAAGACTGATAACAGGCTGAGGGACTGATTACCTCAAATTCCTTCTGTATTGGACTGGTTGGCGAAACATCTCTACAATAAACCTACCCAAGTGTTACCCAAGTCGGTTCTCTGAACCATTTATCTACAATACATAAACAACTTATACAGAGAGGGACTTACGATGTCTTGAAGGTCCACGAATGGTGATACTAATAATAAAAATGATCATGGAAGCCAGTATATATAGGAGAGTGAGAGGTGTCACCGGGAGAGAGGTGTCACCGAGAGAGAGGTGGCGATAGTAGTAGAAGTACATAAGAACATAAGAATGTAGGAACACTGCAGAAGGCCTACTGGCCCATACGAGGCAGGTCCTTATCAAAACGTCATCTACCTAAAGCTACTCAAGAAATAACTCCCGTACCCCTTGACACCAATCAAACCCAGCCCCTCCCACTCATATATTTGTCCAGTCTCTTCTTAAAGCTACACAAGGTCCTAGCCTCTATCACCCCACTGGGAAGACTGTTCCACGCATCTACAACTCTGTTAGAAAACCAGTACTTACCAATGTCCTTTCTAAATCTAAATTTATCCAACTTATATCCATTATTTCTGGTTCTTACCTGGTTCGACACCCTCAGTACTTTATTAATGTCTCCCTTGTTTATGCCCGTCATCCACTTATACACTTCAATGATATCTCCCCTCATTCTACGCCTCTCCAGAGAGTGGAGATTGAAGGCTTTAAGTCTATCTTCATACGGGAGGTTCCTTACACAGTAAATCATTTTAGTCATTCTTCTCTGTATGTTCTCTAATGAGTCTATGTCCATCCTGTAGTAAGGGGACCAAAACTGAGCAGCATAATCTAAATGAGGCCTCACTAGTGATGTATAGAGCTGCAAAATAACTTTTGGACTTCTGTTACTTATAAGAACATAAGAACATAAGAAAGGAGGAACACTGCAGCAGGCCTGTTGGCCCATACTAGGCAGGTCCTTTACAATTCATCCCACTAGCAAGCATTTAACCAACCCAATTTTTAATGCTA